GTATTTTTTTTTAGGTTAGGTTCGGCCGTTTTCGGTATGTTGTCAATCAACAATCCTTAACCCGGATCTGTGCACTTTATTCACTACTTAACTTTTGTTGCCCAGTCCATATGCCTTTTTAGAATATATAGGATATACCTGTTATTAAGGGATTCAAGGGTTAAAAACTCCATCATATCGTGCTTGGTCATGTATTTTTTCTTAGGTTAGGTTCTGCCGTTTTCGGTTTGTTGTCAATCAATAATCCTTAACCCTGATCTGTGCACTTTATTCAGTACTTTACTTTTGTTGCACAGTCCATTTGCTTTCCAGGTATTTATAGGATATACCTGTTATTAGGGGATTCAAGGTCTAAAAACTCAATCATATATTGCTTGGTCATGTACTTATTAGCTTTCTTGGGATATATAGGGTATACCTGTTTTTAGTATTAAGGGTTCAAAACTCGATCATATCGTGCTTGGTCATGTATTTTTTTAGGTTAGGTTCGGCCGTTTTTGGTATGTTGTCAATCAACAATCCTTAACCCGGATCTTTGCACTTTATTCAGTAATTAACTTTTGTTTCCCAGTCCATTTGCTTTTTTCGGATTTATAGGATATGCATGTTATGAGGGGATTCAAGGGCTAAAAACTCGATCATATCGTGCTACGTCATGTATTTTTTCTTTGGTGGGTTTGGCCATTTTTGGTATGTTGTCGCTCGGTAATCCTTAACCCGGATCAGTGCACTCTGTTCAAAACTTAATTTTGGTTGCCCAGTATATTAATATTCTTAGGATATATAGGGTATACATGTTTTTAGAGGATTCAAGGGTTCAAAACTCGATCATATCGTGCTTGGTCATGTATTTTTTCTTAGGTTAGGTTCGGCCGTTTTCGGTATGTTGTCAATCAATCACCCTTAACCCGGATCTGTGCACTTAATTCAGTACTTAACTTTTGTTGCTGAGTCCATTTGCTTTCTTGGGATACATAGGATATACCTGTTATTAGGGGATTCAAGGGTTGAAAACTCGATCATATTGCGCTTGGTCATGTATTTTTTCTTTGGTAAGTTCGATCGTTTTTGGTATGTTGGCGCTCAGTAATCCTTAATCCGGATCATTGCACTGTATTTAATACTCAACTTTTGTTGCCAAGTATATTAACTTTCTTGGAATATTAAGGGTATACCTGTTTTAAGAGGATTCAAGGGGGCAAAAGTCGATCATATCGTTCTTAGTCATGTATTTTTTCTTAGGTTATGTTCGGCCGTTTTTGGTGTGTTGTCAATCAATAATCCTTAACCCGGATCAGTGCACTCTATTCAATACTTAACTTTTTTTGCCAAGTATATTAGCTTTCTTGGGATATATAGGAATATACCTGTTTTTAGAGGATTCAAGGGTGCAAAACTTGATCATATTGTGCCTAGTCATGTTTATTTTAGGGATTAGGTTCGACTATTTTCGGTATGTTGTCAATCAATAATCCTTAACCCGGATCTGTGCACTTTCTTGAGTACTTAACTTTTGTTGCCCAGTCCATTTGCGTTCTTATGATATATAGGATATACCTGACATTAGGGGATTCAAGAGCTAAAAACTCGGTCATATCGTGCTTGGTCTTGTATTTTTTCTTTGGTAAGGTTGGCCGTTTTCGGTATGTTTGTGTACAGTAATTCTTTACCCGGGACAGTGCACTATGTTCAATACTTAACTTTTGTTGTCCAGTATATTAGCTTTCTTGGGATCTATAGGATATACCTGTTTTTAGGATCAAGGTTTCAAAACTCGATCAAATCTTGCATGGTCATGTATTTTTTCTTAGGTTAGGTTCGGCCGTTTTCGGTATGTTGTCCATCAATAATCCTTAGCCTGGATCTGTGCACTTTATTCAGTACTTAAATTTTGTTGCCCAGTCTATTTGCTGTCTTAGGATATATAGGATATACCTGTTATTAGATGATTCAAGGGCTAAAAACTCAATCATATTGTGCTTGGTCATGTACTTTTTCTTTGGTAAGATTGGCCGTTTTCGGTATGTTTTCGCTCAATAATCCTTAGCCAGGATCTGTGCACTTTATTCAGTACTTAACTTTTGTTGCCCAGTTCATTTGCTTTCTTAGGATATATAGGATATACCTGTTATTAGGTGATTCAAGGGCTAAAAACTCAATCATATCGTGCTTGGTCATGTATTTTTTCTTTCGTAAGTTTGGCCGTTTTCGGTATGCTGGCGCTCAGTAATCCTTAACCCAGACCAGTGCACTCTGTTCAATACTTAACTTTTGTTGTCCAGTATATTAGCTTTCTTGGGATATATAGGGTATACCTGTTTTTAGTATCAAGTTTTCAAAACTTGATCATATATTGCTTGGTCATGTATTTTTTCTTAGGCTAGGTTCCGCCGATTTCGCTATGTTGTCAATCAATTATCCTTCACCCGGATCTGTGCACTTTATTTAGTACTTAGCTTTTGTTGCACAGTCCATTGGCGTTCTTATGATATATAGGATATACCTGTTAATAGGTGATTCAAGGGCTAAAAACTCAATCATATCGTGCTTGGTCATTTACTTTTTCTTTGGTAAGTTTGGCCGTTTTCGGTATGTTTGCGCACAGTAATTCTTAACCCGGGACAGTGCACTATATTCAATACTTAACTTTTGTTGTCCAGTATATTAACTTTCTTGGGATATATAGGATATACCTGTTTTTAGTATCAAGTTTTCAAAACTTGATCATATATTGCTTGGTCATGTATTTTTTCATCGGCACTTAAAGTTAACCAGCGAGAGACGTTAACCACCGAGGTTTTTAGACACGCCCAGTGCAACTATGCACGCCTACTTTTGGAGCTCTTTAGTATGAAGATAAGAAAAGTATACAGAATTGAGGAACTGTCGACAATGTTTTATATTGTTCTATTGGTTTACAGACGTTACCCGTAAATAAACTGGACCCCTGTTGTGTTTATTTATCGCTGCACTAAGCCTCCTGCACTACGATGGAATGGCGGACCAGTTTAAACATGGTAAACAGATAAACAGCTGATTAAAGTAACCTGTAAGAAGAAATGAGTTAACTATTGTTTATATTAGAGACGAGAATGTCTCGTGTTTTGTTCTGCTCAGAAAAGCAGGAACCTTGGAGTTTATGGTTAGATTGTAATTCTTTCTTGAATCAAAACTGGGTAAATTTGATATAGGTAACAAACACTCCCCCTTTTTAAAAAATAACTCGAGAACCACACATCGGCCATCGCGCTCGCTGCACAAAGTAACAATAGTCAATAAGAAATAATTATTGTTACTTTCAAGAATCATTAATTGTCAACCCCCCCCCCCGGACATCAAAGGAAGTTAAATGTATTGTTATCCCAAATTAGTTCAAATTATTATCATAATGACGTCTTGAAACCCTATTTTATGTGTTTTTTTGGCTTTGAAGTATTCCTACTGCAGAAAAAAAAACATAACAAAACCTTTTAAGAAGTCATAATTATTTGAACTACCCCTGAATATATTGCAGACAGGCTCTGATCTAAAAAATGTTTTAAGAGCAATCTTTGAAATGATTTTTTAGGTAATTTAATTATTATGTAATTAATATTAACATAGTTATAAACTTTCAAATTTATTGACCAATATGACCAACTCCTATGCTCTTTCCCATAAATGTCACAATATCATTATATTACAGTAAAATCCGATAGTTTGATGACATTCGTCATTGTTTATGCCTATTGACCTCAGGTCAGCCTAAACTGTAATTTATTCATTAATAAAAACCTAAGACATTAACCACCTGCAATGTGATTGCATCAAAATGACACCTAAGGCATATCATACTAATTGTGCAGGATGTGCCACCAAAATAAATACTGTCTTGTAAAATTAGATGATGATAGTTATAGCTACATGTAGTAATTATAATAACTGATGATAGATTTAAATCTGAGTAAAAGGTTGATTTATATGTGCTCATTCATGTTTTAATTAAAATATAAATTGAATCTTTTCTTTTATAATATTAAGATATTAAAATCACAATTATTTATTTGTAAACTAAAAATATTTTTTGTCCTTTTAAGAACATGACTGTACACAAACATTATACACAAATAATTTTAATAATTCTGTCATGTTTTTTTTTATGTAGCCCCAGATGGTCAGAACAGTGGCAAAAGACTAATCCAGATTACCAAAAAATAGAAATTGTTCAGCTACCATTCATGCCATAAGCATGATAAGAAAAATTTTGCAGTTTCCAGAATTTGAGGTAGAGTATAGTCAGGAATAGTTAAAATATGCAGATGTTTAGTTTGCAATAAACAATTATGTCCTTGATAGAAAAGTAGAGGAAACAAAAGAGTATGAAAATAGTTGAAAAAAGTAATCAATATTACCTAGTCATAAATAATGTAAATAGAAAAGAGAAAGGCAATGGTTACGACTTGGTTTTATTAATAGCTTTATCATTTGTCCATAATTTGGAATGAATCTTGACATTTTCATGTCACAATTTGATCTAAATGCATCCTCCTTTATAAAATAATATTATTTTCAGTCTACTTAAACAGGTATTTTTTTTGTTAATTTAAAAAAAGAACAATGAAAAAATCATTGAACAATTTTACCTAGCCTGTAAAGCTGATAGCTTGTTGATTTATAAAATTGATTAACTCATGGGTTAACAGGTAGTAAAATTTTATACTACAATCCTGGTACCTGATACAGCCTTCAAAATCTGAAGGTTAGTTTCAACCCAGTCCTGATAGATTTATCAATGAAAACTAATCAACAGACCAAATAAAAATTCACTGGGTAAAATGATAATATTTTAAGTAATAATACAATATTCATTCATACCATTTGTTGCGTAAAATAGTTTTGTTACTTATCATACATATATGATTTACTCCTAATACTCTAACAGTATTGTATGGTAACCACCGACGGTAAGTTTGGACAAATACTGTATATAGAGTGTGTATAGGAGTACTGTATTTTATGGTAACCACCGACGGTAGGTATGGACAAATACTGTATAAAGACTGTGTATAGGGGTACTGTATTGTATGGTAACCACCGACGGTAGGTATGGACAAATAATGTATATAGACTGTGTATAGGAGTACTGTATTGTATGGTAACCACCGACAGTAGGTATGGATAAATACTGTATATAGACTGTGTATAGGAGAACTGTATTGTATGGTAACCATCGACAGTAAGCATGGACAAATACTGTATATAGAATGTGTATAGTACTGTATTGTATGGTAACCACCGACGGTAGGTATAGACAAATACTGTATATAGACTATGTATAGAAGTACTGTATTGTATGGTAACCACCGACGGTAGGTATGGACAAATACTGTATATAGACTGTGTGTAAGAGTACTGTATTGTATGGTAACCATCAACGGTAGGTATGGACAAATACTGTATATAGACTGTGTGTAAGAGTACTGTATTGTATGGTAACCATCAACGGTAGGTATGGACAAATACTGTATATAGACTGTGTAAAGGAGTACTGTATTGTATGGTAACCACCGACGGTAGGTATAGACAAATACTGTATATAGACTGTGTATAGGAGAACTATATTGTATGGTATCCAACGACAGTAGGTATGGACAAATACTGTATATAGACTGTGTATAGGAGTACTGTATTGTATGGTAACCACCAACGGTAGGTATGGACAAATACTGTATATAGACTGTGTGTAAGAGTACTGTATTGTATGGTAACCATCAACGGTAGGTATGGACAAATACTGTTGATAGACTGTGTGTAGGAGTAATGTATTGTATGGTAACCACCGACTGTACATGTAGGTATGGACAAATACTGTATAAAGACTGTGTGTAGCAGTACTGTATTGTATGGTAACCACCGACTGTAGGTATGGACAAATACTATATATAGACTGTATAGGAGTCTTGTATTTTATGTTATGGTTACCATACAATACAGTACTCTTACACACAGTCTATATACAGTATTTGTCCATACCTACCGTTGGTGGTTACCATACAATACAGTACTCCTATACACAGTCTGTGTATAGGAGTACTGTATTGTATGGTAACCACCAACGGTAGGTATGGACAAATACTGTATATAGACTGTGTGTAAGAGTACTGTATTGTATGGTAACCATCAACGGTAGGTATGGACAAATACTGTTGATAGACTGTGTGTAGGAGTAATGTATTGTATGGTAACCACCGACTGTACATGTAGGTATGGACAAATACTGTATAAAGACTGTGTGTAGCAGTACTGTATTGTATGGTAACCACCGACTGTAGGTATGGACAAATACTATATATAGACTGTATAGGAGTCTTGTATTTTATGTTAACCACTGACGGTAAGTATGGACAAATACTTATATAGACTATGTATAGGAGTACTGTATTGTATGGTAACCACCGACAGTAAGTATGGACAAATACTGTATATAGACTGTGTATAGGAGTACTGTATTGTATGGTAACCACCGACGGTAAGTACGGACAAATACTGTATATAGACTGTGTAAAGGAGTACTGTATTGTATGGTAACCACCGACGGTAGGTATAGACAAATACTGTATATAGACTGTGTATAAGAGTACTATATTGTATGGTATCCAACGACAGTAGTTATGGACAAATACTGTATATATAGACTGTGTATAGGAGTACTGTATTGCATGGTAACCACTGACGGTAAGTATGGACAAATACTGTAAATAGATTGTGTATTGGAGTACTGTATTGTATGGTAACCACCGACTGTAGGTATGAACAAATACTGTATATAGACTGTGTATAGGAGAACTGTATTGTATGGTAACCACTGAAGGTAGGTATAGACAAATACTGTTGATATACGGTATATAGGAGTAATATATTGTATGTTAACTACCGACGGTAGGTATAGAAAAATACTGTTGATAGACTGTGTAATGGAGCACTGTATTGTATGTTAACCACCGAGGTAGGTATAGACAAATACTGTTGATATAAGGTATATAGGAGTACTATATTGTATGTTAACTACCGATAGTAGGTATAGACATATACTGTTGATAGACGGTATATAGGAGTACTGTATTGTATGTTAACCACCGAAGGTAGGTATAGACATATACTGTTGATAGACGGTATATAAGAGTACTATATGGTATGTTAACCACCGACGTTAGGTATAGACATATATTGTTGATAGACGGTATATTAGAGTACTATATGGTATGTTAACCACCGACGGTAGATATAGAAAAATACTGTTGATAGACTGTGTAATGGAGCACTGTATTGTATGTTAACCACCGAAGGTAGGTATAGACAAATACTGTTGATATACGGTATATAGGAGTACTATATGGTATGTTTACCACCGACGGTAGGTATAGAAAAATTCTGTTGATAGATAGTGCAAATGAGTACTATATTGTATGTTAACCACCGACGGTAGGTATAGACATATACTGCTGATAGACTGTGTAATGGAGCACTGTATTGTATGTTAACCACCGACGGTAGGTATGGACAAATACTGTATATATACACTATGTATAGGAGTACTGTATTGTATGGTAACCACCGACAGTAGGTATGGACAAATACTGTATATAGACTGTGTATAGGAGTACTGTATTGTATGTTAACCACCGACGGTAGGTATGGACAAATACTGTATAGAGACTGTGTATATGAGTACTGTATTGTATGGTAACCACCGACGGTAAGTATGGACAAATACTGTACATAGACTGTGTTTAAAACTGTATTGTATGGTAACCACCGACGGTAAGTATGATCAAATACTGTATATAGACTGTGTATAGAACTGTATTGTATGGTAACCACCGACGGTAACTATGGACAAATACTGTATATAGACTGTGTATTGGAGTACTATATTGTATGGTAACCACCGACGGTAAGTATGGACAAATACTGTATATAGACTGTGTATATGAGTCTTGTATTTTATGTTGACCACCGACGGTAGGTATGGACAAATATTGTATATAGACTGTGTATAGGAGTACTGTATTGTATGGTAACCACCGACGGTAAGTATGGACAAATACTGTATATAGACTGTGTAAAGGAGTACTGTATTGTATGGTAACCACCGACGGTGGGTATAGACAATTACTGTATATAGACTGTGTATAGGAGTACTATATTGTATGGTAACCACCGACGGTAGGTATGGACAAATACTGTATATATAGACTGTGTATAGGAGTACTGTATTGTATGGTAACCACCGGCGGTAAGTATGGACAAATACTGTTGATAGACTGTGTGTAGGAGTAATGTATTGTATGGTAACCACCGACTGTACATGTAGGTATGGACAAATACTGTATAAAGACTGTGTGTAGCAGTACTGTATTGTATGGTAACCACCGACTGTAGGTATGGACAAATACTATATATAGACTGTATAGGAGTCTTGTATTTTATGTTAACCACTGACGGTAAGTATGGACAAATACTTATATAGACTATGTATAGGAGTACTGTATTGTATGGTAACCACCGACAGTAAGTATGGACAAATACTGTATATAGACTGTGTATAGAAGTACTATATTGTATGGTAACCACCGACGGTAAGTATGGACAAATACTGTATATAGACTGTGTATAGGAGTACTGTATTGTATGGTAACCACCGACGGTAAGTATGGTCAAATACTGTATATAGACTGTGTTTAGAACTGTATTGTATGGTAACAACCGACGGTAAGTATGGAAAAATACTGTATATAGACTGTGTATAGAACTGTATTGTATGGTAACCACCGACGGTAACTATGGACAAATACTGTATATAGACTGTATATAGGAGTACTATATTGTATGGTAACCACCGACGGTAAGTATAGACAATTACTGTATATAGACTGTGTATAGGAGTACTATATTGTATGGTAACCACCGACGGTAGGTATGGACAAATACTGTATATATAGACTGTGTATAGGAGTACTGTATTGTATGGTAACCACCGACGGTAGGTTTAGACAATTACTGTATATAGACTGTGTATAGGAGTACTATATTGTATGGTAACCACCGACGGTAGGTATGGACAAATACTGTATATATAGACTGTGTATAGGAGTACTGTATTGTATGGTAACCGCCGGCGGTAAGTATGGACAAATACTGTATATAGACTGTGTATAGAAGTACTGTATTGTATGGTAACCACCGACGGTGAGTATGGACAAATACTGTATATAGACTGTGTAAAGGAGTACTGTATTGTATGGTAACCACCGACGGTAAGTATGGACAAATACTGTATATAGACTGCGTTTAGAACTGTATTGTATGGTAACCACCGACGGTAAGTATGGACAAATACTGTATATAGACTGTGTATAGAACTGTATTGTATGGTAACCTTCGACGGTAACTATGGTTAAATACTGTATATAGACTGTGTATAGAAGTACTGTATTGTATGGTAACCACCGACGGTAGGTATGGACAAATACTGTATATATAGACTGTGTATAGGAGTACTATATTGTATGGTAACCACCGACGGTAAGTATGGACAAATACTGTATATAGACTGTGTATAGGAGTACTGTATTGTATGGTAACCACCGACGGTAGATATAGACAAATACTGTATATAGACTGTTTAAGGAGTACTGTATTGTATGGTAACCACAGACGGTAGGTATAGACAAATACTGTACATAGACTGTGTATTGGAGTACTGTATTGTATGGTAACCACCGACGGTAAGTATGGACAAATACTGTTGATATACGGTATATAGGAGTAATATATTGTATGTTAACTACCGACGCTAGGTATAGACAAATACTGTTGATAGACGGTATATAAGAGTACTATATGGTATGTTAACCACCGACGGTAGGTATAGAAAAATACTGTTGATAGACAGTGTAATGGAGCACTGTATTGTATGTTAACCACCGGGGTAGGTATAGACAAATACTGTTGATATAAGGTATATAGAAGTACTATATTGTATGTTAACTACCGATGGTAGGTATAGACATATACTGTTGATAGACGGTATATAGGAGTACTGTATTGTATCTTAACCACCGAAGGTAGGTATAGACATATACTGTTGATAGGCGGTATATAAGAGTACTATATGGTATGTTAACCACCGACGGTAGGTATAGACATATATTGTTGATAGACGGTATATTAGAGTACTATATGGTATGTTAACCACCGACGGTAGATATAGAAAAATACTGTTGATAGACTGTGTAATGGAGCACTGTATTGTATGTTAACCACCGAAGGTAGGTATAGACAAATACTGTTGATATACGGTATATAGGAGTACTATATGGTATGTTTACCACCGACGGTAGGTATAGAAAAATACTGTTGATAGATAGTGCAAATGAGTACTATATTGTATGTTAACCACCGACGGTAGGTATAGACATATACTGCTGATAGACTGTGTAATGGAGCACTGTATTGTATGTTAACCACCGACGGTAGGTATGGACAAATACTGTATATATAGACTATGTATAGGAGTACTGTATTGTATGGTAACCACCGACGGTAGGTATGGACAAATACTGTATATAGACTGTGTATAGGAGTACTGTATTGTATGTTAAGCACCGACGGTAGTTATGGACAAATACTGTATATAGACTGTGTATATGAGTCTTGTATTTTATGTTGACCACCGACGGTAGGTATGGACAAATATTGTATATAGACTGTGTATAGGAGTACTGTATTATATGGTAACCACCGACGGTAAGTATGGACAAATACTGTATATAGACTGTGTAAAGGAGTACTGTATTGTATGGTAACCACCGACGGTAGGTATAGACATATACTGCTGATAGACTGTGTAATGGAGCACTGTATTGTATGTTAATCACCGACGGTAGGTATGGACAAATACTGTATATATAGACTATGTATAGGAGTACTGTATTGTATGGTAAACACCGACGGTAGGTATGGACAAATACTGTATATAGACTGTGTATAGGAGTACTGTATTGTATGTTAAGCACCGACGGTAGTTATGGACAAATACTGTATATAGACTGTGTATATGAGTCTTGTATTTTATGTTGACCACCGACGGTAGGTATGGACAAATATTGTATATAGACTGTGTATAGGAGTACTGTATTGTATGGTAACCACCGACGGTAAATATGGACAAATACTGTATATAGACTGTGTAAAGGAGTACTGTATTGTATGGTAACCACCGACGGTAGG